TGTATCACACTGCTGTTAACAGGGTTGCCTAGAGTGACCGCTATAGACAGGGTGGTCTGTATAGACAGGTGAATGTAACACACTGATGATAACAGGGTTGCCTAAGGTGAACGCTATAGACAGGGTGGTCTGTATAGACAGGCAGCTGATAACAGGGTTGTCTAGAGTGGTCGCTATAGTCAGGGTGGTCTGTATAGACAGGTGGATGTATCACACAGCTGATAACAGGGTTGTCTAGAGTGGCCGCTATAGACAGAGTGGTCTGTATAAACAGGTGGATGTAACACACTGCTGATAACAGGGTTGTCTAGAGTGGCCGCTATAGACAGGGTGGTCTGTATAGACAGGCAGCTGATAACAGGGTTGTCTAGAGTGGTCGCTATAGTCAGGGTGGTCTGTATAGACAGGTGTATGTATCACACTGCTGTTAACAGGGTTGCCTAGAGTGACCGCTATAGACAGGGTGGTCTGTATAGACAGGTGAATGTAACACACTGATGATAACAGGGTTGCCTAGAGTGACCGCTATAGACAGGGTGGTCTGTATAGACAGGTGGATGTATCACACAGCTGATAACAGGGTTGTCTAGAGTGGCCGCTATAGACAGAGTGGTCTGTTTAGACAGGTGGATGTTGCACACTGCTGATAACAGGGTTGTCTAGAGTGGCCGCTATAGACAGGTGTATGTATCGCACAGCTGATAACAGGGTTGTCTAGAGGGGGGCAGGGAGGCCACGTGTTAGCTGGCAGCCAATTGGGCGCGCATTCTATCCGTGAGCTTCAGACATACAGACAAACAGACAAGCAGACAGAATAAGGCAAATATATAAGTAGATTCGCAAAACGACGACATCAACTTTCAAAACTTTGGTATGACAAAGATTGTTACATTATGAAAAAAACGACCAAAGTAAGTTCACAAAGATGTAGGAACTCAAATAACATACACGACCGCCAAAAATATATTGAGGCTAGGAGGGAATATTTTAAGCTCCTGCAAAGAAAAAGAGAGAGTTGAATTTAATAAGGACAAGAATGAAATGATAAAAAACGCGAAAGATCCCAAATCCTTCTGGAATGCCATTGCAGCCTTTAGAAAAAACCAATAATACAAGGAGAGATTGATATAAAAGAATGGTTTTTATTTTATAAAAAAATTACTGAACAAAGAAAATAATGAAGCTACTTTTACGTTAACCAGATGATCGGTTGGAAAGATCCAGATTTAGACGCGGAAATAACCCTTGAAAAGATCTATGATGTAGTAAAAAAACTAGCGAATGGCAAAGCAGTGGGACTCGATGGTATACCAAATGAGTTGCTAAAGAACTTACCGATACCGACTTTAACTAAATTGAAAAACCTATTCAACAAAATAATGTCCACAGAAAAATACCCGCAACTCTGGACGAACTCAATAGTACACCTCATATATAAAAGCGGTGATAAGAATAACCCAACAAATTATAGAGGGATTGCCCTCTGCAGTAATATATCAAAATTATTTACTACAATACTAAGAAACAGATTAAACAACTGGATAGAAAAAAGAGAGATTATTTTAGAAAATCAAGCAGGTTTCCGTAAGAACAGATCATGCACTGACCACATACTACTACTGAATTCACTCATCCAATTATCTTTGAGAAGAAAACGAGGCAAGCTATATGTCTTCTTCGTCGATTTGACTAAAGCTTTCGACACAGTACCACATGATTTACTTTGGCAAAAATTGCATAAAATGGGCATTAGCAATAAATTTGTAATGCTGATAAAAAACTTTTACCAAGAAGCTATGAGTACTATCCGATGGAAAGGGCAATATTCAAGCAATGTGAAAATTAATTCTGGAGTGTTGCAGGGAGAATCACTTTCCCCACTTTTATTTATATTATATATGGCCGACCTAATAGAACTTTATAATAACTCAGTACTTACAGGATTTCATCTCCCTGATTTTGGTGTTTTACACCTACTTCTGTATGCGGATGACATAGCCATAATTGGAGAATCGAAAATTAATCTACAAATTAAAATCAATTTACTAAAGTCTTACCTGGATAATAACAAATTAGTTTTAAATGAAAATAAGTCCAAAATAATGGTATTTAGAAATGGAGGAAGACCGGCAAGACACGAAAACTGGTACTGGGGGGGACATCCCACTGACTGTTGCGTCCAATCTACTTATATAATTGCCTTATTCTGTCTGTCTGTCTGAAGCTCACGGATAGAATGCGCGCCCATTGGCTGCCGGGCGAACACGTGACCCCCCGCCCCCCTCTAGACAACCCTGTTATCAGCAGTGTGTTTCATCCACCTGTCTATAGCGGCCATTCTAGACAACCCTGTTATCAGCAGTGTGTTACATCCACCTGTCTATACAGGTCACCCTGTCTATAGCGGCCACCCTAGACACCCCTGTTATCAGCTGTGTGCTACATCCACCTGTCTATACAGACCACCCTGTATAAAGCGGCCATTCTAGATAACCCTGTATCAGCTGTGTGATACATACACCTGTCTATACAGACCACCCTGTCTATAGCGGCCACTCTAGACAACCCTGTTTTCAGCTGTGTGATACATCCACCTGTCTATACAGACCACCCTGTCTATAGCGGCCACTCTAGACAACCCTGTTATCAGCAGTGTGTTACATCCACCTGTTTATACAGACCACTCTGTCTATAGCGGCCACTCTAGACAACCCTTTTATCAGCTGTGTGATACATCCACCTGTCTATACAGACCACCCTGTCTATAGCGACCACTCTAGACAACCCTGCTAACAGCAGTGTGACGCATACACCTGTCTATACAGACCACCCTGTCTATAGCGGCCACCCTAGACACCCCTGTTATCAGCTGTGTGCTACATCCACCTGTCTATACAGACCACCCTGTATAAAGCGGCCATTCTAGATAACCCTGTATCAGCTGTGTGATACATACACCTGTCTATACAGACCACCCTGTCTATAGCGGCCACTCTAGACAACCCTGTTTTCAGCTGTGTGATACATCCACCTGTCTATACAGACCACCCTGTCTATAGCGACCACTCTAGACAACCCTGCTAACAGCAGTGTGACGCATACACCTGTCTATACAGACCACCCTGCCTATAGCGACCACCCATGACAACGTTTTTAAAATATATTCGCACTCGGGTAAAACCCGGGCGTTGCCCGGGCCATTCGTCTAGTATTATATATTTGGGATATCCATTCACTATCACTAATAATAGCAAAAAGGTAGCCCTCTTTTATAAAGCCAAAGCAAATACAGCAATAAATGCAACTATTAGACTGATAAAAAAGGAAAAAATTAATTCATTAAAAGTTGCACTGAATTTATTTGACTCAGTTATTAAATCAATACTACTCTATGCGGCCCCTGTGTGGGCTTGGGACAATACTGATATTATAGACCAAATACAGAATACGTTTATCAAAAACTTTCTGAATCTACCAATATATATACCAGGGTATATTGTAAGGCTGTAAACAGGCAGAATATCTCTGACTTTTACAACGATCAAATTAATTATGAAATATTTCATTAGATTACAAAAAATGGAAGACAATAGACTACCTAAGCTATGCTGGAATAGATTGAAGGAAATTTCCTTAATGACAAAAAAACCTATATGATTCTGTAAAAATATCATGGATATCATCAATCATTGTGGACTCACACGGCTAAACTTTAGGTTAAATTATGATGACATACAGATCGAACTTCCGAATATACTAAAAATAAAAATTGAACAGCTATTGCAGCAAGATCTGGCAAAATTATCTCTTACGAAAACACACTCAAACTATAGGTTACTTTATGATTCATTCATTCCAGAACATTATTTTTCATGCAATCTGTCCTCAGCTTTATTGAGTTTTATTGCACAGATCAGATTAATATCAACATTGATCAAAGAAATTCATATTTACGTAATTAAGAAAGAAGATTTGTACTGTAGGTTATGCGGAAGTGTCAGATAACCGATGAAATATACCATTTTACTGCTGAGTGCGGGGATCTGGAAGGAGAGAGAAAAAAGATCCTGAAAAGTCTTCCTAGACCGCATTTGAACTCAATAAAGATAATAAAAACTGTTTCAGATAAGAAAAGTTGGGCAATAGAACTGTTCAACTATCAAAAACGATTGTAAATAAAATTGCATTCGTGGAAGAGAGAAGAACAGGGGCACAATAAAAAAGTCACCCTGTTTACCATACCTTAATTGTAAATACTCTATCTCTCCCTTTTCTATTGTGTTGAATATTGTCTGTAATTCCACGGCGAATCTGTACAGGGCAAGACGCCCTAATAAAGTTGTTTTGTTGTTGTTGTATTACCTGCAAGTTATACGCAATTTGCGCGAAGCAATCTGCCAGAAACCCCCGGATTTGTGGAAGAACAAAAATTGGCTTTTGCACCACGATAACGCCCCTGCTCACACATCGTGCTTGTGCGCGACTTTTGGCCAAAAACAACACACTAATGATGCCGCCGCCACCGTAATTCCCCACATCTGGCCCCCTGTGACTTTTTCTTGTTCCCTAAACTGAAGAGGCCCATGAAAGGACGACGTTACGCTACCATTGACGAGATAAAGACGGCATCGAAGGTGGAGCTGAAAAAGATTTTTAAAAATGATTTTTTGAAGTGCTTCGTAGATTGGAAAAACCGTTGGCACAAGTGTATAATATCTCATGGGGATTACCTTGAAGGGGACAAAATAGGTATTCATGAATAAATAAATAATTTTTGAAAAAACACGAAGTTCGCGATACTTTTTGAACACACCTCGTATATAATGTATGTATCTAATATAAGTAATGTATAACGAAAATTGCAATTATACCGCGAATGCTTCTTTTAAACGAAAATCGAAATTTATTTTAAAGAGAAATAACGACTATTTCTAACTTTAAGGATGAAGTATGACAGGGTGAAAAATATGAAGAGTAATGGCGAACGGAAAAATAAAAGTGTCCAGGGGCGGTAATCGAACCCACGAACTTCCGCTTACCAGGCAGATGCCATGTCCACTAGGCTACCCTGGACATATCTTTCCGTTCGTAAATATTATATAAAGTAATTTAAAATACAATATAACGCGGCTGATGATTGTAAAACGAAAATTGCAATTATACCGCGAATGTTTCTTTGAAACAAAAATCGAAATTTATTGTAAAGAGAAATAACGACTATTTCTAACTTTAAGGATGAAGTATGAAAGGGTGAAAAATATGAAGAGTAATGACTAATGTAGAAGAGAGAAATGTTGGAATCAAGTCAGTCCACGATATCAACTACCCTTGTGGTGAAGTCAGCAAAGGCCAATACAAACCTGGCAGATGTAGAAGAGAGAAATGTTGGAACACAGTCAGTCCACGATATCAACTACCCTTGTGGTGAAGTCAGCAAAGGCCAATACAAACCTGGCAGATGTAGAAGAGAGAAATGTTGGAACACAGTCAGTCCACGATATCAACTACCCTTGTGGTGAAGTCAGCAAAGGCCAATACAAACCAGGCAGATGTAGAAGAGAGAAATGTTGGAACACAGTCATTCCACGATATCAACTACCCTTGTGGTTAAGTCAGCAAAGGCCAATACAAAACTGGCAGATGTAGAAGAGAGAAAAGTTGGAACACAGTCAGTCCACGATATCAACTACCCTTGTGGTGAAGTCAGCATAGGCCAATACAAACCTGGCAGATGTAGAAGAGAGAAATGTTGGAACACAGTCAGTCCAGGATATCAACTACCCTTGTGGGGAAGTCAGCAAAGGCCAATACAAACCTGGCAGATGTAGAAGAGAGAAATGTTGGAACACAGTCAGTCCACGATATCAACTACCCTTGTGGGGAAGTCAGCAAAGGCCAATACAAACCTGGCGGATGTAGAAGAGAGAAATGTTGGAACACAGTCAGTCCACGATATCAACTACCCTTGTGGGGAAGTCAGCATAGGCCAATACAAACCTGGCAGATGATGAAGAGAGAAATGTTCGAACACAGTCAGTCCACGAAATCAACTACCCTTGTGGGGAAGTCAGCAAAGGCCAATACAAACCTGGCGGATGTAGAAGAGAGAAATGTTGGAACACAGTCAGTCCACGATATCAACTACCCTGGTGGGGAAGTCAGCATAGGCCAATACAAACCTGGCAGATGATGAAGAGAGAAATGTTGGAACACAGTCAGTCCACGATATCAACTACCCTTGTGGGGAAGTGAGCATAGGCCAATACAAACCTGCCATGTGTAGAAGAGAGAAATGTTGGAACACAGTCAGTCCACGATATCAACTACCCTTGTGGTGAAGTCAGCAAAGGCCAATACAAACCTGGCAGATAAAGAAGAGAGAAATGTTGGAACACAGTCAGTCCACGATATCAACTACCCTTGTGGTTAAGTCAGCAAAGGCCAATACAAACCTGGCAGATGTAGAAGAGAGAAATGTTGGAACACAGTCAGCCCACGATATCAACTACCTTTGTGGTGAAGTCAGCAAAGGCCGAAACAAACCTGGCAGATGTAGAAGAGAGAAATGTTGGAACACAGTCAGTCCACGATATCAACTACCCTGGTGGGGAAGTCAGCATAGGCCAATACAAACCTGCCATGTGTAGAAGAGAGAAATGTTGGAACACAGTCAGTCCACGATATCAACTACCCTTGTGGTGAAGTCAGCAAAGGCCAATACAAACCTGGCAGATAAAGAAGAGAGAAATGTTGGAACACAGTCAGTCCACGATATCAACTACCCTTGTGGTTAAGTCAGCAAAGGCCAATACAAACCTGGCAGATGTAGAAGAGAGAAATGTTGGAACACAGTCAGCCCACGATATCAACTACCTTTGTGGTTAAGTCAGCAAAGGCCGAAACAAACCTGGCAGATGTAGAAGAGAGAAATGTTGGAACACAGTCAGTCCACGATATCAACTACCCTTGTGGTGAAGTCAGCAAAGGCCAATACAAACCTGGCAGATGTAGAAGAGAGAAATGTTGGAACACATTCAGTCCACGATATCAACTACCCTTGTGGGGAAGTCAGCAAAGGCCAATACAAACCTGGCAGATGTAGAAGAGAGACTGTTGGAACACAGTCATTCCACGATATCAACTACCCTTGTGGACAAGTCAGCAAAGGCCAATACAAACCTGGCAGATGTAGAAGAGAGAAATGTTGGAATCAAGTCAGTCCACGATATCAACTACCCTTGTGGTGAAGTCAGCAAAGGCCAATACAAACCTGGCAGATGTAGAAGAGAGAAATGTTGGAACACAGTCAGTCCACGATATCAACTACCCTGGTGGGGAAGTCAGCATAGGCCAATACAAACCTGGCAGATGATGAAGAGAGAAATGTTGGAACACAGTCAGTCCACGATATCAACTACCCTTGTGGGGAAGTCAGCATAGGCCAATACAAACCTGCCATGTGTAGAAGAGAGAAATGTTGGAACACAGTCAGTCCACGATATCAACTACCCTTGTGGTGAAGTCAGCAAAGGCCAATACAAACCTGGCAGATAAAGAAGAGAGAAATGTTGGAACACAGTCAGTCCACGATATCAACTACCCTTGTGGTTAAGTCAGCAAAGGCCAATACAAACCTGGCAGATGTAGAAGAGAGAAATGTTGGAACACAGTCAGTCCACGATATCAACTACCTTTGTGGTGAAGTCAGCAAAGGCCGAAACAAACATGGCAGATGTAGAAGAGAGAAATGTTGGAACACAGTCAGTCCACGATATCAACTACCCTTGTGGTGAAGTCAGCAAAGGCCAATACAAACCTGGCAGATGTAGAAGAGAGAAATGTTGGAACACAGTCAGTCCACGATATCAACTACCCTTGTGGGGAAGTCAGCAAAGGCCAATACAAACCTGGCAGATGTAGAAGAGAGACTGTTGGTACACAGTCATTCCACGATATCAACTACCCTTGTGGACAAGTCAGCAAAGGCCAATACAAACCTGGCAGATGTAGAAGAGAGAAATGTTGGAATCAAGTCAGTCCACGATATCAACTACCCTTGTGGTGAAGTCAGCAAAGGCCAATACAAACCTGGCAGATGTAGAAGAGAGAAATGTTGGAATCAAGTCAGTCCACGATATCAACTACCCTTGTGGTGAAGTCAGCAAAGGCCAATACAAACCTGGCAGATGTAGAAGAGAGAAATGTTGGAATCAAGTCAGTACACGATATCAACTACCTTTGTGGTGAAGTCAGCAAAGGCCAATACAAACCTGGCAGATGTAGAAGAGAGAAATGTTGGAACACAGTCAGTCCACGATATCAACTACCCTTGTGGTGAAGTCAGCAAAGGCCAATACAAACCTGGCAGATGTAGAAGAGAGAAATGTTGGAACACAGTCAGTCCACGATATCAACTACCCTTTTGGGGAAGTCAGCATAGGCCAATACAAACCTGGCAGATGTAGAAGAGAGAAATGTTGGTACACAGTCATTCCACGATATCAAATACCCTTGTGGGGAAGTCAGCAAAGGCCAATACAAACCTGGAGATGTAGAAGAGAGAAATGTTGGAACACAGTCAGTCCACGATATCAACTACCCTTGTGGGGAAGTCAGCAAAGGCCAATACAAACCTGGCGGATGTAGAAGAGAGAAATGTTGGAACACAGTCAGTCCACGATATCAACTACCTTTGTGGGGAAGTCAGCAAAGGCCAATACAAACCTGGCAGATGTAGAAGAGAGAAATGTTGGAACACAGTCATTCCACGATATCAACTACCCTTGTGGTTAAGTCAGCAAAGGCCAATACAAACCTGGCAGATGTAGAAGAGAGAAATGTTGGAACTAGTCATTCCACGATATCAACTACCCTCGAGGTTAAGTCAGCAAAGGCCAATACAAACCTTGCAGATGTAGAAGAGAGAAAAGTTGGAACACAGTCAGTCCACGATATCAACTACCCTTGTGGGGAAGTCAGCATAGGCCAATACAAACCTGCCATGTGTAGAAGAGAGAAATGTTGGAACACAGTCAGTCCACGATATCAACTACCCTTGTGGGGAAGTCAGCATAGGCCAATACAAACCTGGCATGTGTAGAAGAGAGAAATGTTGGAACACAGTCAGTCCACGATATCAACTACCCTTGTGGTGAAGTCAGCAAAGGCCAATACAAACCTGGCAGATAAAGAAGAGAGAAATGTTGGAACACAGTCAGTCCACGATATCAACTACCCTTGTGGTTAAGTCAGCAAAGGCCAATACAAACCTGGCAGATGTAGAAGAGAGAAATGTTGGAACACAGTCAGTCCACGATATCAACTACCTTTGTGGTGAAGTCAGCAAAGGCCGAAACAAACCTGGCAGATGTAGAAGAGAGAAATGTTGGAACACAGTCAGTCCACGATATCAACTACCCTTGTGGTGAAGTCAGCAAAGGCCAATACAAACCTGGCAGATGATGAAGAGAGAAATGTTGGAACACAGTCAGTCCACGATATCAACTACCCTTGTGGGGAAGTGAGCATAGGCCAATACAAACCTGCCATGTGTAGAAGAGAGAAATGTTGGAACACAGTCAGTCCACGATATCAACTACCCTTGTGGTGAAGTCAGCAAAGGCCAATACAAACCTGGCAGATAAAGAAGAGAGAAATGTTGGAACACAGTCAGTCCACGATATCAACTACCCTTGTGGTTAAGTCAGCAAAGGCCAATACAAACCTGGCAGATGTAGAAGAGAGAAATGTTGGAACACAGTCAGCCCACGATATCAACTACCTTTGTGGTGAAGTCAGCAAAGGCCGAAACAAACCTGGCAGATGTAGAAGAGAGAAATGTTGGAACACAGTCAGTCCACGATATCAACTACCCTTGTGGTGAAGTCAGCAAAGGCCAATACAAACCTGGCAGATAAAGAAGAGAGAAATGTTGGAACACAGTCAGTCCACGATATCAACTACCCTTGTGGTTAAGTCAGCAAAGGCCAATACAAACCTGGCAGATGTAGAAGAGAGAAATGTTGGAACACAGTCAGCCCACGATATCAACTACCTTTGTGGTGAAGTCAGCA